TCAGAATTACTTTTGTCAGCTGCTACTAATAAGCAAATACTTGTACACTAGTTTCACGATGGACGTCACAAGTTCATAATCATTTACCTCTTTGGTTACTTAAACATATATGCTGCGTAAGGTTTCATCACTTACTATGGACAAAAATTCCATCTCCTGCTTATGATGATAACAGACATCGTACGGTTTACATGCTTATGTACTTGTTGCACTATGCACCACACAGAAGTTTGTTTTCTTTTAATCATCTGAGTAGCACAGCTTTTTGGAGCGTTTCATAGACTATTTAAGCCGATTCTATTTGATAAATTATTATTTAATATCTCTTTTCATCAACTTTACTTTGTTAAAGAAAGTAAGAAAGCAAAACATTTTAAATTGTAATCTAATACATGCCATGTCACAAAAAAATCACATGACCGGATAAATACGGTCGTGCCACTCACTCAGAGGGTATAAGTGCTTTGGTACCTTAAATGATGTATGATGGGAGGCATGGCTCTGATAATCACATTATCATTTCAACAACCTAGCTGATGATGAAATGGCGGTTTTCACAAACTAACTTCTTTAATGTTGTAACATTTTCCACTGTGATTATAACATGTATTTGACTCAGTCTTGGGCAATCCTCCATATGCTCCACTCAGTTATAAAGCTATTCAAGCTTTCTAAGCACATTTCTGAAACATTTCAGAAAGAGGGGTCCCTGCAAATTCATTACAAAAGTGAAAGTCTTCTACTGCTTTTATGCCTTCCTTATGCAGTAATTGAAATACACCTGTTGCACAAGCTTTTGATCTATGATGCAACGCTGCCAGAAAAGCAATCTTCTCTAAGACCAACACGTTGATCCTACCTGTTTTAACTTGTACAGTACTGCCACCTGATATCCATCATATCAAATACTCGAACAAAAAAATATGGTCTACATCAGCGCTGTCCAACTTATCATAGCCCGTGGGCCATATTTTCTTCACCAAACATTTCGGGAGCCAAGAAGGTTGATAAATGAAAAGTCAGTTTTTATGGTAATTGAAAAAATATTTTATTTAAACTAAAAAGAAAACTTAAAAATATTCATAATATATTAATGAACATATTGTGGCCGTAATTGTTTAGCAACAATATCTTTTAAGTCCACATCAGTATTTGTTTGTGGCAAGTTCAATTATATCTTCAAGAGTGGAATCTTTCAAACTGTTCCTATATTTTGACTTTATATATTTCATATCAGATATGCATGCACGCTTGCAGTGTGTACTTCAGAACATTGATACAATTTGAAGTTCAAAATCTCTCAATTTTGGATATTTCTCTTTATCTAAAAATTTGAATATTTCTATTCCAGTTACTCCACAAGATGTAAAAAATGGGTCAGCCCGCAGGTCGCATAATTTTATTTGATATTAAGATAAATGGAGTTGATATCAATATTAATTGCATCACAAAACAATTGACAGTTTAAGATCATCAAATTGAGAAAATCTTTTATTGAAATCTGTAATTAGCATATCCAATTTTGGTAAAAATATTTTAAAATTTGCTTCTATATTACATTCCTTCATTTCTATATAGCTCTCCTTGCAAGATTCAACATGAAATAAGTTACTTTGCTCCAAATTAAACCTTAACAATTTTTATTTGTTTCTAAATCCAGTAACATATTTATAAAGGCAACACGTTTTGATCTTGTCCTTGCAAGGATTTATTCAAAATGTTTAAATAATTTGTAATGTTCGTTAGGAAAGAGAGTAACTAAAACTTTTTATCAACTAAATTTTCAGTCAAATTTTCATCGACTGCAATTTCTGTGAGAAAAAGATTAATTTCTTTTCAAAGTGCACAGAATCTCCTCAAGCACTTTCCAGTACTTAGCCAACAAACATTACTATGCAAAAACTGATCTCCATACTCAGTTTCCAATTCATCCAAAAATGTTTTAAATTTTTGCTGTGTAAGAGAACGATTTCTGCCGCGAATTAAATTAGTAATTTTGCAAACCTTCTCCATTATGTCTTTTAGTTGTAGGGATAAACCACATAATGCCTCCTGATAGATAATACAGTGTAACATACAACATGTTATTCCTTCTTTTTGGAAAAGTTGCATGAGCCCAATATTTTTGCCTGTCATAGCTCTAGCACCGTCGGTTACAATAGCAGTGCACTTGTCAAATCCGCCATACTGCTCTACTGACCATTTTAATTCTTAGTACATATTTTCACCTTTTGTTGTTCCGTGTAATGATTGTAATTTTAAAAGTTCTTCTGAATAATTATAGTTTTCATTTACAGTTTTTATAAAGATAAGCATTTGACTTTTAATAGAAATGTCTGTGCTTTCATCCAATGCTACTGAAAAAATAGCAGCAACTATTGATTAGGTTTTCTAATTTATTAGTGATATGCATGCTAATCTCATTTACACATCAGCTTACAGTCTGATGAGAAAGTGATACTGTTTGAAATTTTCTTACCATTTCGTTGTCCTTAAATGCTTAAGCCATTTTTATGGTACATTTTTTAATGAATTCTCCATCCAAAAATGGTTTCTTTGCCTTTCCTATTTCTAAACAAACTTCAAACGATGCAGCTACAGATGCTTCTTGAAATTTTGGTTCTTGATTAATCGTTTGATGATCCAGCTGCATTTTCGTTTTTCCCACTAGTAGTATTTTCATGTCTCACGTGTACAAATGATACTTTTTTCATGAATGGAAAGATAATGGTGCTTCAAGTTATATTCTTTACACACAGCTATGATTTGTAAATATTCCAAACACTGTGATTTACCATTCTTGCTCAGAATAAAATATCTATCTCCCAGCGATCTTGAAATTCTCGATTTTCGAGGTCTATTTTTCTTTTATTAGTAGCAATTCAATAATTATTTTAATTAATAAATATGAAATTAAGTTAATATTATAACACAGTCACCCCTCAACAAATTCTAAGCAAGACTGCACTCGCACTATTGCATGAATCAACCAAATAGCGTGGCGCCAATGTTGAGCCAAACACCATCAGACGTTAACGGATTGCTGCTGTATTTACATAGGTTTAGTGAAGTTACGCAAACTAAATAGTACCTACTTCAAATTCAGATTAGACTTAAATTTTAATATTAATAATAATAATTTAGTAACAAATTTATTCATAGTAAAATGTACTCATGGGCTGTAAAAATAATTTGGCAGGCCGCCAGTTGGACGGCCCTGGTCTACATTTCAAATGAGCAAACTTTCTATAATTAAAAGATTTCAGAAGTAATTATCAGCAGAGTCAGCATACGAACGTACAACACCGAAATGTAATTTTCACTCTCCTTTATGATGTATTTGAAAATTATATACAATAAACAGGAAAAATTAATCGAAAGGCAGCTTTTCAATTCCATTGATCTTAAGTCACACCATATTCCATTAAAAGTGCATGTCTGCGAGTGTGGTTTCTGCAGTATGATTACACAGAAATTCACATTACATTTTACATTTCCTGCTTAGCAACTCAGAAAGGCAACCTAAAACATTCTACAGATGTGTTCTCTTCTTAAAGAATCGACAATTAATACTTGACAGCATAAACTTCCTCTTCAGTACTGCTTACAGCAATTATGTACACTGCGCAAAGAACAACAAAGGAACAGTTCTATAATCTCCCGTTTTACTTGGCAGATTCACAAAATTCAAACTGCGTTTTCAATGTCTCGAAAGCACAACTTGGGATATATATTAGATTTATACATAGCACTGAACTAACATAGATATTTTGACACAAAAATCGGACTTTTCTGAAATTACATGCCAATTTTTTCCACATTACGATTTTATGGCTCAAATTATGCCTAAATATTAAATTTTGTAAAGTTTGGTTTGATATTTATGGAGAAATTAAAAAATTTATCTTTGCCCACTTTTTCAGTTGCGCCAAGAATAATTAATTAATTTGGAGAACTTCTTAATTTATAGCAACCTATTTTTCACTGTAAACAAGTGGGAAAGTCGTCGTTCATACTTTCAAATAATTTTAACAATGTGCGTAAACTACATTTGGCGTTATTATTGCTTATAACAAATATGCGAAATTTCAAAATGTGCCAATATGTAAATTCATGTATATCTTGGGAAATTTTGAATGAAAAACTCAATTTTTTGCGGGTATGCTTAAAAATACATTTGCTTTAAGATGATGGTAAAAATTTTATAGGTTATAAAACAAAATTTTTTTGAAAAATTTATAAAAATTATTTAAAAATACAAATTTAAAAAATAAATCATAAAAAATGGGCAAATTTAATTTAGAATGAACTTAAATTTTGAAATGTGAAAGGAAGAATCAAATAAATTTAATAAAAAAAGAGCTATTAATAAATACATAAAAGATTCCATTAACATTGAAGAGCTAAAAATTTGAGAGCTAATTTTTTTAAAAATCTACTTGTGCGATTTTTACTAAACTTTGCATTGTGGCACACTTGTGTTGTGAGTGTAGAATCAAAATATGGAAACAAATTTGCATGTCATTTCAGAAAAAGTCCAATTTTTGTCAAAATACCTATGTTAGAACAATGCTATATATAACCTAAGTCTCGCTTTTGAGACATTGAAAATGCAATTTAGATTTTGTCAATCAACGCAGTAAAATGGAAGATATAGAACTACCCCCACTTTTTTTTTTGTGTGTGTGTGCAGTGTACATAACATTTTTGAATTTTATGAAATGGTCTTTTATAACAAATGACAAATAGAATCAACATAAGGGCTACTTTTAGCTACATTATAATGCAACATTTTCGAAGTAAGAGAAATCATCTTTAATCATTTGCTTTTGACATACTGATTAATCATCATTCCATCAATCACCAATATGACAGGCAAGAATAATAGTAACAACCCTCATAAAAATTAAAATTTTTGTCCTCATTATTTAATGCCTCTTAAAAAATTCTTTTGCTCATTTTTAACTCGTGGTATTGTAAAATATATTTTTGACTAGCATCTAGTAATTCCAATCATTAATCAAACAAATTTTAAGAACACAAACCTGCAAAGCTGCTTTAGTGGCAGTTTCGAAAACTTCTCGTACACCCTCTTTAGTTTTAGCTGAACATTCTAGATATCCATAAGCATTGATCTTCTCAGCCATTGAGCGCCCTTCTTCTGGTGTCACTGGTTTCTGCTTCATTTTTGCTAATTCACAAATAGTATGTGAATCATTCCTTAGATCCTAAACAGCAAAAAAGATCAACTAGCGACATATAAATTTTGCTTTGGATTCTTTAAAAGAGAACCATTGGCAGTTTCATAAATAAAACAGCATTTTTAAATATTTAAAAAAGAAACTGAAATGACCATGATCTATATTTGTTTCATCATACACGTACAACATAATTCTAACTGTGGTGATATATGTGTACTGAACAACACAAAATATTTTACAATCTTTAATGTATGTTATTTCATATCTATTTCTAGATTATTCTACACATCTCCAATGAAATGCTAATACTAGATTTTTGAGAATGCCATGTTTCAGATTAATTAAATTCAAAAAGCTAAAGATTCTTTAAAGTAAATATACTAATAATGACGTTTTCTATTATATGTAACTTTATGTTTGCATTATTTGAAATTATACATTTCTTCTTTCTTAATTTATATTTTAAACCAAATTGAATAAATTATTTTCCTCAGAATAAAAAGCATTTTATTGCTTCCCTCATTCCAGAATAAGCTATCCACAGTCTTTCAAGTTGCATGTTTTAAAATTTCTTGTGGCCTGTCAGGAACACAGTTCCTTATGGATAAACAAGGTTTTGAAGGTAATTAGCATTTTCCAAAATACATTATGTTAAGCCAAATTCCATATAAAAATTTATTCATACAAGTAAATTATGGCATAACAGTGCATAAAGATCACAACAGATAAAATTTACAATACACTAAAACCTTTATGTCTGGAAAATAAATGTTTAACATCTATCAACAGTTTAAAAACAGGCTTTTCTAGAGAAACTTACAATACTATCACCAAGAATCAAACCCAGGTCCAAATTACCAGGCTGATACAAATATCACAGCACTTCAAAATTAAAAAAGAGCATGTCTTTAAACTCGATACCTCTTCTCACCTGAAAGGTTGTTGTAGGAAAAGCAATTCCCTAGCCAACAAAAGTTTGTGATGAATTATCTATTACCACTTTTACTTACGGCACCACTGTAACAATACCATAAGGTTAAGGAGCACAGAAAGAATCTTGAGATACTGACCATACTCCAGCCAGGAATGGATCCCAGGTCTTAAGATTACTGGACTATGTGCTGCCTACCACAACACAAGCTAGCACAGGGGGAATATCTTTTAATTCCTTATTGGTGTCAGGAAAGTAAACATTACTTAGTTAAATTTAGTGCATTTATTAAATGTCGGGGAAATGCTCAAATTCTGCCCAAAACTAACTATTGCCCCAAAAGTTCTAGCACATGAAAGTGCAAATACATATACTGATTTATGTTCATACAAAACAATGTGATTTGCTTATTCATAAAATATGTGATTTTGCGTTAAAGAATTAGTAGAGATAATTAAAACTAAAAAATTCAGGCAACACACATAAAAATTCGCAGACAGAAAAAAGCTAAATGCACTTCAAACATGATTAATTTTATAGCTCAGTAGATGCACTTTATATTTTCTTAATACAAATCTTGCTAAGCAGCCAGATACAAAAAAACTTCAATTTATGTACTTATTTTCATATTAGTTGCAGCATAATTCTCACAACTGTACATGCACCAAAAAAAAGGAACAGTTCTATATCTCCCATTCTACTGGGCCGACTGATGAAATTCAACTTGCGCTTTTCATATCTTGAAAGCCCGAATTAGGATAATTATATATAGAGAGAGAACATTGTTCCAACAGTTACTTTGGCACAAAATCAGACTTTTTCTAAAATGACATGCTTATTTTTTTCTATATTTCGATTCTACGACTCAAATCATGACTAAATATTAAATTTTGGTGCGAAATTTAGGGAGAAATTCAAAAATTTATCTTGGCTTTTTTTTCAGTTTGTGCCAAGAATAATTCACTTGGCGAACTTCTTAATTTAAAGGAATCTATTTTCCTTTCCTTCATTGCAGACGAGTGAAATAAAAGGTCATTGTTCATACTTTCAAATAATTTTAATAAAATGCGTAAACCACATTTGGCATTACTATCGCTTATAAAAAATATGCCAAATTTCAAAATGCACCAGTATGTAAATTCATGTATATCTTAGGAAACTTTGAATAAAAAACAAATTTTTTGTGCCTAGAAATACATCTGCTTTAAGATGATTTTAAAAACTTATAGGTTACAATTAAAAATTTATAAAAATTATTTAAAAATACAAATTTTAAAAATAAATCATAAAAAATGGGGTGAATTTTATTTGGAATGAACCTAAATTTTGAAATATGAAAAAAAGAATCGAATATGTTTATTAAAAAAAGATATTAACAAATATATACCAAATTCAATTAACATTGAGGACCTAAAATTTTGAAAGCTAACTTTTTAAAAAGTACTCGTGCGATTTTTACAAAATTTGGCAGTTTGGCATAATTTGAGTCGTTGAACCAAAATATGGAAAAAAAAATTAGCATGTCATTTCAGGAAAAGCTCGATTTTGTGTCAAAATACCTATTTCTATTAGATTTATATAATAGATCTAATATATAAATAATATATATAAATCTAATATTTATATATATAAATCTAACAGATATCCTAAGTCATGCTTTCGAGACATGAAAAACCCAAATTGAATTTTGTCAATTGGCCCAGTAGAACAGAAGATATAGAACTACCCTCCCTTTTTTTTTTCTTTCGCAGTGTACATCACATATTTTCTTATCACCATCAAATCAAACTCTGTGCTACAAACCTTGAGGCTATACACATTTTATAAAAACTCGATATGTTCTGACATCAAAATTAAAGTGTCATTTCCAGCTAACAACTCTTCTCACAGAGAAATCTCTAAAAATTAAGCACAAATGCTTTTAAGACAACAAATAGTAATACTCCATAAGAGAATGTGCAATTTTTACTAGTGCCAAAGCTAAATAAAACTAAAGTAGTAATTTTAATTATGAAAGAATAAAATAATGCTCACTTATTAAAATGAAATTTTGAATAAGACCAATGAAATTTTGCTCCTTTTTCAAAAGTAAAAGATTATTAATGATTTTGTTTAATGAAATAAAATGACCAGTGAAACTGTTCTCAGAAAAAATATTAAAAACAAAGAAATTAACCTTTTTATTTCCCACAAGAATGATAGGAACATTTGGACAAAAATGCCTAACTTCTGGAGTCCATTTCTCAGGAATATTTTCTAAACTATCAGGACTGTCAATACTAAAACACATAAGGATTACATCGGTATCTGGATATGACAGAGGTCGCAGTCTATCATAATCTTCTTGACCTGCAGTATCCCACAGAGCTAATTCAACCTACAGAAGCAAAATATACAGAAATTAGATTTACCAATCAAATAAACTTCACATTCTTTCAGTCACTTATTCTAAAATTAAAAAACATAAATGTAGAACAACAAAAATCATATGAAATGTTAGAATCCTAATTTCAGGTTTTTTGTCATAACAATGCTTTCTTAATTTATTTTTAATTTTTAAAAGCTCAACAACCTCTTAGTTGAGCTTTAAGTAATAACTTAACATACAGCATGCTCATAACTCTTTATGTGGCCTATATTTTTTCAAATGTTGGTCACAAACATACACTTCAAATTAAAAAAAAGTTTTGACACAAATACTTAGAATTTTAAAAATAAATTTTGTAAAAATTACAAAAACTAACTATTTATGTTGTCTCCGAGTCCCTAGAGTCAGTAACATTTTATATTCATACTAAAAAAAAATCAAGCATAAAAACAGTGACTCCAGTTAGAAAAAAATTGTGAGAGATAAATTATTTCAAATTTCAGGATTTTCAACTTTTCTTTTAAGGGATCAGTTAAAATATAAATTAAGAATAATTCAAAATCTATCTTCTCTCTTTTAATGCCACTAAGTGATACCTTTTTTGGTGGTTTATCAATGTAGCATTGAATTTAAAATTCTGCTACATATGCTCTGCCAAAAGCATTTTCACACAAACAGCTTGTTTTTAAATGTTAAAAATGCATTTATATTCACATGCAGCTTTATTTAGATCATCAGTTTTTCTTTAGTTCGCTCCCTGTTTGTTAAGATCACAATCTAATGGTTATAAAAAATTTCGTTAGACTAGAAATAGTCTTTACTTTCAAATTATGCATTTAGTTCTGAATTGACTTTGTGCCAATAATGAAGCTTGCCAATATTTTCTAGAATACAAATTTAATAAGATTCTATGCATAAATCTTTTTGAAAAAAATTCTATTAAGTCTTTCATGACAGACTGCACAGCAATGCTTGCCTCAATCTATTAACATCAGCAACCTTATTCTACACTGCTATTTATTTTTAATTACATATAAATGCAAATATTTCACTTTTCAATTTGTGCATGACCCCTGAATATTATATCAAACTTATTTTTTAAAATAAGAATATACTTTCATTATTTTTATAAAATTTTTTAATGTAAAAATGCCATACAATGGATATTTTCCTTACTTAAAGCATTTCTGTAATTGGAATGACATGTCTATTACTGACAATTGCGTAAATCCATGATCTCAAACTCAAATTGCACGCGAGTCGAATTTCCTCCAAAAATAAATTTTAAATTTACTTAATATTTATCAAAACATACATAAACACTAATACTAATTACAAATTTATGTTTATTTTCTAGTTGAAATCTAATGGAATATCAAAGAAATTTTTGCTGCTGCACTGCAGTTCAAACACATTGACAGATAAACATTCAAGTTTAAGACCAATATTCATTTCAAATAAAAAATTTGAGAATGAACTACAACAACCTATCTTTTATTTACTAAATTTTCCTTTGACATACACAGAAAAAACACATATCCTAATTATTATGCAACTTTCTTATTTCTTACAACAACTTGATGCTTTATAGCATTTTGATTCTCATAATGTTTGTAACCTTGGCGAACAATTTTACTGCGCAGATTTCATTTCACGCACCTTTTGAAAACACGTCTTTCTTTCAGCTTTTGTTAGTTATGACCTGTACAATTTAATCAATTGATTCCTTTTGTAATTTTATTTACAACTTAAAATTTTACAAAAATTTTTGTACGAGAGCTATATTCAAAAGTTATGCACAATTCTAAATGATATAATGAAGATCTAATGAAAAGTGCAAAGAATCAGGTTTTAAAAGATGTTTATTAGTTCCCTTGTAACGATACAGCAACATGAATTGTGCATCCAGGTAACCAACTAGTAACTGATTAAAGAAAGTATATATAAAAAGTACCACCGATTAAATTAGATACATTTTTTTGCTACATTTCATTTAAACTTATGTCCCCGAATTTTGTCTCAAATTCAGTTTTCACTTTGCAGCAAAGAAAAAATATACCCCCCCCAAAAAAACCACAGAATATAATTAAAAACAGTTACAGAATTATTTTCTGCAATTCAAATTAAGAGTTTTCATGCAGAAATGAGCAATTCGGAGCAACAGGCAAAAATTTTCAGTGCACCAAAATTTAGTTAATTTCCAGGCATACTGGGTAGAACACACTGAAGTTGATGCACCAACTGACTTTATTTACGATACTATTAAGAGTTTTCATATGAAAACAAATGCAGCCTCATTAGGCTTAGCTCCACTTACACTTTTAGACTGCTGTTACAAAAGGCATAAACCATAAACAGAGCATAAGAACATAAATCAATCAGTTTTAAAGCAAAAAAAAGCACAATTCCCCAACACATAAAAAAAAAAAAAAAAAAAAAAGCTCACTGAGCATATATGTATACATACACACACATGGTATATATGTCGCATATCTTGGCACATAATATACATCAGTGTATAATGCACACCTTATTAATTTTTAGGTATATTCGCTGTATAACGTGCACCATTTCCATTATGAAGAAACCTGAAAGATACATGTGAGTTACTGTTACCTTCTGAGGTCATTCATTTGAAGATTTTTTAAGAACAGTGATTCCCAACTGGTGGTTTGTGAACCTCTGGGGCGCAGTGTTTGCAGAGGGGGTTTGTGAAAATAATATTGTAATGGCGGAATTTTTAAAATGCCTTTAAAATCAAAAGGAAAAAAAAAAATTAAAGAACACACCCACAGTAAAACAGATTGTTCACTGCCTGTCTGTTAAGAAACCTATAATAAATTTCAATATTTTCATTTCTTTTTTCCTTATTTGTTTTTCAAAATTACTTCATAAATATCAAATTCTATCAACAATTTTATACATTATAATTTATTCCTCTTATTCAAGTAATCAGATACTATTCTCTTTCTATTACAAACATTTATTTATATTTAAAACATTTTAACAATGTGATTAGAATCATGTTCTGCTTTATATTTAAAATCATTGCAGCAGTTTTTCCTTCTATGTACTTTTTTTTTTTTACAATACAATTGGAAATAAATATCAAATTAAGGCTGTTTACTACAGATTTTAGTATTAGATACTTGTTCACAACCGGGAACTGGGAGAGTAGCGTTGCATTAACTGTCTATTTTGTCTGTCTGTTTGTCTGTCTTTCAACGTTCATACATAGGCTTAGCACTAGTACAGCTTAAGTGATAGTGATACTGTGACTGTCAAGTTCTCGTTAAATGATTTAATAACTATTAATTTAATTATTATTATAGCTTATTTTTATTATGGATCGATGGTTAAAAACGGGTTGTTTAGAAACGAGACATGATAATCGAGATGATAGTACCGAAAGCTGTAGTGAGTTACTGTTTCACCAGACGAAAACAAAGGAAATGATGATAGAAAAGGGAAAAAGCGAAAATATGACAGCAACTATCTACAATTGGGTTTTCATTTTACTTGGGATGAGTCGGAAACTAAACCGCTTTGTGTTATATGTAACGAAGTTCTTGCCAACAGAAGTTTAAAACCATCACTTCTCCATAGACATACTGAAAGAAAACATCCGACACACAAAGATAAACCTCTTGAATATTTCAAAAGAAAATTAGAAGATATAAAAAAGTGTAGCTTTTCTTCTTTCTTGACTTCAAACAAAGATAGTAAAATGGCCCTTGAAGCATCATTTCGAGTAAGTTATAGAATTGCAAGATCTGGACAAGCGCATACAATAGCAGAAAATTTAATTGGACCATGTGGGAAAGAAATCGCCAAATGTATGCTTGGGGAAAAGGCAGTAAAGAAAGTTCCCTTATCAAACACGGTGTCGCGTAGAATTAATGACTTTACTAATTATGTGGAGAACAAACTTCTAAAAAGAATAAAATTGAATTATGTACAATTTGAAAAATCTTTGAAAATCTACACAACTGGAGAAGCGATTTTCAATATGATCAATGGGTATTTTGAAAAGAATGGAATAAGCTGGTCTTATTGGGTGTGTACAGATGGTGCAAATTTAATGACAGGAAAATTTTCTAGTTTTGTGGCACGGCTGAAGAGTATCAACGAGAAAATTCAATGGACTCATTGTTGTATTCATAGACAAGCTTTAGTAAGTAAGCGTATTTCTGCAGAGTTATCTACTATTTAAGTGATGCTGTGAAAATTGTGACTTTAAAATCGTGTGCTACAATTGCGTCTATTCCGTACACTTTGTGAGGATTTGGAAGTTTCCACGTTTCTTTACTACTTCACACAGAAGTTAGATGCTTTTCCGTGGTAAGTTTTAACGCGTTTGTTTGAATTGAAGTTGAAGTTCAAGCATTATTTATTGATTATCGTTTCATTTGTCTCTTGTATATCCGAGTTTTTTGGCTGCAAAGCTTGCGTATTTAGCTGACATTTTTTGTAAACTGAATGAATTAAATATGTCTTTACAGGCGAGGGTGTCACATTTCAGTGTACATGATGATTGAGGCTATTGAAAAAGACCAATTTTTGGATTCAATGCCTGCAGATGATATGAGTATGGATGTGATTCTGTCAGCACTTTTTTTACAGAAAATTCAATTAAAATTATGTAACATTAAAAGGAATATATGTGAACATCTGAATATCTTCGATTAACTTTCGATGACTATTTCCCAACAGAAGCATATATCCATCTCAAAACAACTGGATACGTAATCCTTTCATGGAATGTAAGTCCAGAAACCTCTCTAATATACTGGAAAAAGAAAAACTTCATAGAGTTATCTTGTGACTTCTCTAGAGCAATTTTTAAAGATTAATCTTTAATTGACTTCTGGCTCAGTATACAAAATGAATATCCTGTTCTGTCAAAAAGTCAAGTTCTATTACCATTTTGCACAACATATCTATGCGAGAAAGGATTTCCAACATATACTTATCTGAAAGATAAATACAGAAACAGGTTAAATGCAGAA